TCTCTCTCTCTCATTTTTCTCACCATGTCTCATGCCAGACAGGATATGTAGTATCTTGCAAGGCAGTATCAAGTGAGTGGAGTAGGTTCCCCATGCCCACCCCAGGAAGGAGGAGGTTAATAAGATGGGCACAAAGCAGAGGATGTATGCCTGGTGATCTCAGGAAGAGCTATGGTTTGGGCTCTAAAAGTGACATGAAATGTAGTACCAGTTGTTCAAAATAGACCTTTATCCTTGTTACTGAATTTGAAGTTTCTTCCAGAGGCCTGCCTAAGGAGGACAGTGTGTGGTACCCACACGTAGGGATGCATTTCCTAGGACTATTACTTACTTTATTACTTTCTTTTGAGATTAAGAATCAGTGTATTTTACAACTAGACAAGAACGTACAGTCCAGGGCATAGGAATCATGAGGCAACTGTCCTTTCCTGCTTCCCTGTTTTCATTCTTGGTTTCAACTTCATGGAGTTAACAGTATATGCTGGTTTTGGTGATCTTCATGTTATACTGGTATAATGATCTAAGTACTAGTTATCCCCAAAGAAATCATAAGCCACATTCATCAACCCTTTATGAGGAGGACAGCAAATTGTGATAACTGTATATGATAAGATGGTTTTAGATGAAACTTCATATGGTTAGTGAAAGGATGACTACAGCAATGTATAAGTTTTATCTAAAAGTGTTAAATAAAGCTCAGTAGTAGAGCACTTGACCGCCATGTGTGAGGCTCTAAGTTCAGTACCACTGAAAGAACAGAACCAAACAAAAGCACTCAGGCTGGCTCCTGGACCAGCTAGCTGATGGTTCAGGTGGCAGTGCCCACAGGCAGGCTCCTGTACCAGCTAGCTGATGGCTTTGATGGCACTGCCCACAGGCAGGCTTCCAGGCCAGCGACTGGAAGTCAGCCCCTCGGGTGCATCAAGCTAGCAACTGCTAATCAATCCTCTCTTCGTACATAAAACTACTCACATACTCATGTATAAAACTAGCTCCAACTTGCTTACCTTTTCTTCAGTGCCTGGTATGTGTTGCTTGTATTTGCTTCATTCTAGACCTTTCTTTTTTTCTTTTTTTTCTTTTTTTTTTTTTTTACTGTTACTTTGCTCTCATTTTGTTTCCCATAAATTTATTGAGAAACAAATAGCAATGAGACAGTTTCAAACCAAACTGGTAGGACAGTTTCAATAATTAACACATTGTATACATTCTTTTTTTTACATAAATTTTTTATTTATTTATTTATGTGTGTGCGTGTGTGTGTGCGTGCGTGCGTGGCCAGCTCAGCCCACCAGGGGGTGGGGCTGGCTGGCATGTGGTGCTGGGGGATTGAACCGCGGTCCCTGTGCTTTACTTTGCTCAAGCTTGTTCTAAGTAGGTGCTTTAGACCACTGAGCCATCTCACCAGCCCCTGTATACATTCTTCCTAGTGATTAATTGCTGGACAAGATGCAGACATGATATCCTATTTACAAACACCGTTAGAACAAATCACTCTATTCATTAAGAGAATGTAACTGTATATCGATCCTAGCCATTTGAATACACAGATACAAAATAGACATTCATCTGCATCCCCTTTTTGTTAAGTTCCATTATTTGAATATTATAGGTGTGTTAACTCAGCAAAATATTCTAAAAGAGTCCAGTAGCCCATAATAGTATTGGATCTTCCATTTGACTGGCAATGTCAGAAATTGTTGCCCTGAGTCCCTACAGCTCAACATAACAGCATGGCTTTACTTCTTATATTTTGATTTTATACTTTTCTGCTGGGTGGTTAAGACCAAGGTAAAGCAGGACCTATACAACAAGAGTTGTACCTTTTGGGTCTGAGAAGGTCAGTGAAATCCCGTCAGGATTTATCCAGAGATCCTGTACCTCAGATTGTAGAACCTTTGTCAGTGTCAGCCATGTGGATGAGTCATGGTCATTGCTTGGCCAATGTGCTGTCTGTGAAAGCTTGAGAGAATGTTTTTTCTCCATGTGACTCTCCTTAGGCACACTCTACATCATCGATCACTTTCCTCTTTGGCCTCATAATCTCCTTGATCAGAAAATTTGGGACACTACTGAGTTCCATGACGTTACAGTACAAGTTCTCATATGTCCTGAGTCTTAATTGACCTTGGAAGGCTAGGGCCAAAATGTTGGCTTTCCTTGCAGCCCTCATTTTTCTCTAATTTTGGTCTGCAAACTTAGATGGTTAACTATCCAGAAGACAAGCTTATTGTTATTACAATACAACTTAGGCTGTTAAACTTAACCTCACTATCTGTCTGCATATCAAACATCTTAGGCATAATATGAAACAGGTATTTTTCATCAAGTATTGATATGTTGAACTTTAAGTCCCTACAGAATATAATAAAAAACATTTAAAAATTAGAATATATTTTAAAAATACGCATAAAGAATTATATACTTCTTATGTTTACGCATAAGTCCAAAAATCTCACCATATACAACCTTGAAGCAGGACAGTCCCGCAATATTTCTTTTCCTGTCTCTTGCTTTCATTCACAACCCCCTACTTTTTAAACAACTATTTACCCGAGAGACATCATTCTAGACCTTTCTTACAGCAGTTCTCTATACAGGCTCAAGGTGGCATTCTAGAGCACACTAAGCTATGCTGCTGACTGTGTCTACTAATCTAGCGTGATTCAGGATTGATTTTAGATCATCCAGAAGGTTAGATGGGCCACATCTTCTCTGACAACCCTTCCTGTGCATTCTTGACTTTTACTTTTTTCTTCTTGTTCTTTGGTTCATGTTTTTGTGAATGTTGAGAGTCAGTAAGGGTGTGGTGATGTATGATATAATCTCAGTTATTCAGGAGGCTGAGGCAGGATTACAAGCATGAGGACAGCCCAGGTAATTTAGACACTTGTTTAAAAAAAAGCTCAGCAGACTAAGCACCTGCTTAGGCAGGTTCAGGGACCAGGGTTCGATCCCTGGCACAACATGCCTCTCCGGTCACCAAGCCGGGGGGTGATGGTGCACAACTGTAATCTCAGTTCTGGGAAGGCTGAAAACAGGTGGATCACTACGAGTCCGAGCTGCGTAGTAAGACCCTATACAAAATACATTAAAAAAAAAAAAAGTGGGGGCTGGAGATGTAGTGTGAAGACCTTGAATTGAGTTCTCAGTACCACAAAAAACAGAGAAAGAGAGTTAGCAAGCTTAAGATTGTACTCTGATTCCTAACTGGTAGCCCTTTTCTGTGTGCTTGAGTATAGCTGCATTCAGCACACACCTGTGCGATGACGACAAGGTTACGGCACATGCGCCACAGCAGCTGTTTGTTACCCTTGGGTGCCCCAAAGGCTTGGCCATCGCTGCCTTTGTCAGGCCCACAGGAGACGGGCTTGGCATTCTTAGTGAGAGAGACCCAACAAACACCTAATAGAAACCTGCTGGTCTCGTGTACTTTCTCATTTTACTCCTCTCCACTTTGAATTCATAACTGATGTATCATATTTGATAAAATACACCGTTTTTGCTCAAAGAAAAAACTAGGTGGGGTGGTGCACTCCTGTAAACCCAGCACTCTGAGAATCATGAGTTTAAGCCCAGCCTAGACAGTTTCTCAGCCTCATGAGACCCTGTTTCAAAATTGAAAATAAAATAAAGGTCTGAGTTCAATACTGCAACAAAAGAAAACTATCATGCATAGTTCTCTCACTTCGCTGTCCACGGTAACTTTATTTTCCTTGTTCTGCAGGTGCATAAGGCAAATCCAGTACGTAAATTCCGGCCTGTGGAGATAAAGGCCAGTGACCAGCCGCTCACCGTGCCCATCTCTCCTAAATGCTGCTCTCGGCTCCACTGCTGAGCTAAGCTGGGAGCTGCACCTTATGGCGTAGCAGGTGTGGAGAGAATGGCCCGTGTCGAATAGAGCACTTGGCCTGGCCTGCGGAGGGGCCAGCTCTGTGCAGAAGTGTTTTCATACATTTTAAGGCAAAAATGAAACTCAACTATCTATGCCTTAATGAGACTTACTGTAGTGAATTACTTTAATGTCAGCTGACCCTTAATTTGAATTTCAAGTTTCTGTGTTAGTACAGTGCAATTTCTTGTACTCTTATCTCTTCCCTCTCGTTTATTCACACATACACACACACACAAACACACTTTCAAAATATATAAAATAAAGATTAAATCTCAGGATTTAAGTCATGGTTTAAATGAGAGGCAGTCAGTCTATCGGATTCTTTCCTCTTGTCCACACAAAATGAGTGCACGGAGTCCTAGCCCAGGTCCGGTGAGTGTGTGGGAGAGCTACCTGCTACCCTGCGCCAGCGGGATCAGTCCCAGCCCAGGCGCAGCGTGGGCCTGACCCTCTCCCGCCCCCTTGGGACATCCCTCACCACTCCTCAGACCTCCCCCACCCCGCCCGCCAAGTATTAATTTCTGCCTCGTTCCGGGAACTCCCAGACCCAGACCTAGCCCAGGTCCCCTGAGTGTGTGGGAGAGCTTCCTGTTACCCTGCGCCGGTGGGACCAGTCCCAGCCCAGGCGCAGCATGGGCCTGACCCTCTCCCGCCCCCTTGGGACACCCCCCACCACTCCGCAGACCTCCCCCACCCTGCCCGCCAAGTAGGAATTTCTGCCGAGTTCCGGGAACCCCCAGACCCAATCCTAGCCCAGGTCCCCTGAGCGTGTGGGAGAGCTTCCTCTTCCCCTTATTCACCTTGCGCCCTCCAAGCACAGC